CTGTTTCCCTCCAGACTCAAACTGAACTACCTGTTTCCCTCCAGACTTGTTTTCCGTGTTGCTCATGGTGAAAGTCTTGCTTCCCTTCTCGTACGTGCAGTAGTGTCGTGTCCAATTGCATCCCAGCGGACCTGGGGAGCCAAAAGAAAGGAGAGGAGAGGGAAAAAAAAGAAAAGAAAAGAGGACGGAAATTGCTTTTGAGCTAAACTGTTTTTGCTCCGAATTACAGGCTTCTGGAGAGACTTTTGAAAATCAATGCGCAATTAAATTGTGATGAATCAAAAGTTGTTTATTGGTGATGATAAAAATCTATCATTTGTGGTAACACACACACACACCCACTCACACACACTTTCATGTGAGGGCACATCAAAGCGAATGAGTAAACAGGATGAATTGTGTGTGAGCGGATTCTTCCTGGGAGAAGTGGGGACATGTTAATGGTGACGGATGTGAGAACTCTGCTCTTTTCCCTGACAGGACCACTCACGTTTCTCCTGGACGTACAGGAAGCCCTCCATAGTCCACTGGCCCGGGGGTTTATAGTCCTGATCCGCTGACCTTATCCTCTTCATCAGCTTCTCCACTTCCTGTTTGGTGCTCACAAAGTTGTTTCGGGTCTACGTGGGACGAGCAGGAATGTGTTAACTTGTTGTTAACGGCATGCAGACTTCCCTGTTTTCACTTTTAACTCTATAATGCCAAATGTATCATATTTGATACATGCTGTTTATGAAATGTTTTGCATCTGACACCTTTGCATAATTTAATGGTAAAAACTTTGCTCAAAATCCAATTTTTTTTAAATTGTTTTTTTTATTTTATTTTTATTTATTTATATATTTATTTATATATTTATTTATATATATATATATTTATTATTATTCTTTTTCTATTGTACACAATCAGATACAGCTGATAACAGGGGGCAGAAGACTACACAAAAATAATCTTGACTTATCGCATAGTAATAAATTATTAATATTAAAAATGTATTTCTGTTTTTTCTTTTTGCATATTTTGTTAAAAAGCCAAATAAGGAATTCAAACAAAAAAAAAAGGAATTTTCTGTTTTGTTTTATTCTGGGATCAGGCTTTAAAGGGTTAAAAGCAAATTGCTCACTAATTCTGCTACCATGGTGTTGCTTTTGCTGCTTGTTTGTTCTTTTGTCTTCCCTGAATCCTTTTACTGGAGCTCCTACAGGTTCTACACCCAGATTCCCCTCCTTTTTACAGACATAGCAGCTGGTTGTATGTCTTGTTTTCTTCCCCTTTCTCTTTCTATCTAAAGGATCTCTCTCCTTTCCACTACTCTTCTTTCTTCGCTGTCTCTCTATCAGGTTCGGCATTATCAGACACGTGTAAGTTTGGTAACAAAAATGAATAAATAAGGCAGTTTTGGGTAATCAAGGGGGGCTTCTCACTAACAAAACAAGACTCAGATTTCAGTTCTGCTGCCATAATGCTGAACAGGGCAATGTAAAAAAGTTAAAAAAAGAAAAGCACATCGCTTCAGAGCTGTAAAAAAAAAAAGAATGAACTCGAGGTCGTCTAAAATTAGAACCAAATTTAGATGCAAATCTGCCTTTTCTTGTGGAATGTGAGAGGCCGGCCTGGGCCTGTTTCATGTGTCGCGGTCGAGTGCCAGTAGAGCCTCACTTTGTGCTTTTATTTGTGCCAAAAAACACCCCCCACCACCCCCCCACCCCCCTCTTCCCATCTGAGGGGTTACGGAGTTAAAATGGTGAGAGCTGCAGATCTGAAATTTGGGGTCAGAGAGACATTTGGACCCCAGACTAAAAGCAATGAGGTCGTAGAGCAGTTTTACTCCAAACTCCAAAGTGTTTTTTGACACGGTGCCATTAAATGGCCCGAGAAAATATCGATCCACCCTGCAATCGCGAGGATATCCATTTGTGAAAACTCGGCCTGTTACATTAACTCATTGGCTGCCAAAGACGTCTATAGAGGTCTTTTATGTTTTTCAACGAGAGTGGCTGGGGGACGATCTGCTAAAGCTTGTCCGTAAATATGGGCTTCTAGACAGAGTATGTAGTAACAAATTGACCCTCTAGGGGGC